CAAAACCCCATAAAAAAAAAAAAAAAAAAACATTAGAAAAAATGTATAAATAATAATATATATTTTCTATACTCTCTCTCAAAATAATAAACTTAAAATATATATTAAAAATAAATAAATAAATAAATAAATAATATTTTTGTGTATTGAGCTGAAGACTGGTTCCCTTATTTATTTATTTATTTATTTATCTATTTAACTATATATTTATATATACAGTATATGTGTATTAAAAATCCCAATGACAAAAATAAAAAATAAAAATTGCTGAAGAAACATAAAATCAAAATAACTTTTTGGGGGGCATCGCAGGCAAAGCAGAAGATGGTTTCCCTCAGGTTTGTCGTCTCTCCTCTCAAGGCTGTATTGATCCAAAGCATCTTCCATTTCCATCAAAGAAACACAGGGTTTGTTTATCTGAGTCTGAAACGCACACTTCTACAGTAAAATATCGATCGAGCGGAGCAAAAGACTGGACCGCCACATAAAACAAACCGCAATGACCTTGAGATCTCAGAGACTCGGAGAGAGCCTGAGCTTGAAGAGAAAAGAAATGCACGGATGATGCAGGAGAAACCTATAGATGATCAATAGGGAAAAACAGAGGCTTTTACTCCTCTTCATAACACGTGACAGATCACGTCAATAATTAAGGAAGGAATTTAACTATTCTGATTCCACTTAATGCTTCCAGTAAAATCAGAGCGTTTTGTAAGAATGTAGACAAACTATTAACTAAATCAAATGTCATGAAAATCATTAATTTCAAGGATTTTCTTTATAAACTGAAGCAGGTTCTCAATTGTCAACCCTACAACCTTATTATTTCAAGAAGTTCAATAGATTTAATTCATTTCAATGAAACAATTTAATTTCTCAGAAATAAACCAGAAATGTCAGTACATGAGCGTATTAACTAACAGTCGTGGGAAAACAGATTTCTCTGCATTTAATGCAATTCACCCCATTCATACAATCTGACCATCTGCTGAACATCAAACACATGACATCTGACTCGTCCCGTGTAATACAACGCTTCATTCCATGATGCTCCTTCTGTCCACATAACCTTCTCTGAACTGTAACGGATGCAGGAGGAAGAGCCAAAATATTCATCACTCAATTGTGGAATTAAAATCAACAAGAAATGACATTTGCAACCCATTTTAATTCCATAATGTGATGTATTTCTGAGTGAAACGCGTGCAAGGACTGTCTGGATGGCATTGTTTTCTTTACATTATTGTGCAACTAATGGGGAAAAAAAAGAGTGAGAAAATAGCTTAACTAAAATACGAAAATAACTTTTACTGTACCTTCTGATCACACTGCACAAAAGTGATGTTCTTCCTCAGTCATTTTGTCTCGTTTTCCAATGCAAAATTGCACAGATTCCTGAATCAAGACACACTGAGAAAATGACTTAATATAATGTCTTATTTTCTGAGAAATTGAACAAAATTAAGTGAATTTATGACCAAAACAAGAGAAATATCTGCCATCGGGAAAACAAGACAAATATCTACCCTTGGAGAAAACAAGTTTTCACCCCCCATTGACAGATATTTGTTCTTGTTTTAAGCATAAACTCATTAGATTTTTTTTTTCTTTCAATTTCTCACAAAACTGGACTTTATCTTCATTTTGCATCTCAGGTAAATGTATCTTGTTTTAAGGATGCTTAGATATTTGTACTGGATAAATGGGACAAAAATACAGAGGAAGACATTTTTTGCAGTGCATGCAACAATTAATGCCCTAACTATGAATTTAAGACTTTCTGCTCCAATTTAAGACCTTAATTTGCAGAAGGGAGAATTAACACTTTTTAAGACCTGCAGAAACCCTGTAATATTACTTCCAATAATTCCCAATTACATTCATGTTTTTCTATTAAAACAACAACAACAAATGTGGCACACAGTTTGCATACGTGCATTTATTTGGCAGCCACAATTGCAAACAATTTAGTCGAGATCCGTGTTTGGATTTATTACAGTTTGTCACTGAGAAGGTTTGATGGCAGATTTCTGCAGCAAACAGCTCAAGCAACTATGAGAAGGAACACAGACTGGCTCTATTACACTTTCATCATGCTTGCTGATGTTTGTAGATCATCAGTGCTTTTCTGTATTAATTTCACCTTAAGCATGGAAAAAAGGTTGTCAACTAATATTTTTTGCCATAGTTTTCGTTAACGAAACTCATAACCTTATCAGAAACCTGTTTGAAGCAGGTAGATGGGCTTGGTTTGTGTTTGTGTACCTTTGCGCAGGTTGACAAGCGGCTGGAGGATGCCCCTGCGGAAGGCAGCCATGGGGTCCTGCACGCAGGAGCGCAGACTGAGCATGCTCTGCAGGTGTGGCTCTTTCAGCAGCAGCTCTCTGTATGCAGTCAGCTGATGCGCTCGGCACAGGAGAGCAGCCACGCTGTGCACAAACTCAGGAACCAGACACGTGTACGTGTTATCAGCCTGACAGTAATGATACGCCACCACCTGCAGAGAGAACCAGAGACTTTAAAAACCTCATACGCATCTAATTTACATTCAGAATCATGCAACAGTTACAAGCATGCAATATTTGCTGTTATTTATATACAATAAATATAATATATTGCCATTTTTACTCTACACATTTGCTCTGAAATGGCTTTTTTAAATCAGAGGAAACAATCAAATAAACAATGCATGTTCTCCACAGTTTTTCACTAAATTAATCATTGCACAAAATATTCATCATATTCGAATTTCATCATATGCACAAAAAAAACTGTAAATACACAATTATCTCGGTCCAAGTAAGAAAGCAAAGAACACCTACAAACAAGTAAACAAAATTAAATAAAATAATTATGGAATGTTTAAATCAACATTAAACAACATTTGCACCATATTTTACTTCCAAAAATGTGATGTATTTTGGTAAAATAAGATATTCAGTGAAAACAAATGCATGGAAGTACTGTATGGAAGAAAATAAAATATAAAAATGTAATATAATTATATACAATATATTTCATATATATTACCATATTTACTCTATACATCTGCTCTGAAATGACTTTTTTTTTTTGTTTTTTTAATCAGAGGAACAATTATTTTAACCAAACAGAAACTGTAGTCAAATAGATTCAAATTAATATTTAATGTAAGAATTAAAACCTAGTAAAAATGCATGTTCAATGCATAAACAATGCATGTTCTCCACAGTTGTTCACAAAATAAAAATTCATCATTGTCATTTCCTGTATATGCACAAATACAGCAATGCACTGTAAATATAGCTGACAATTATCATGGACCAAGTTTATGAACATACTGACAAGAATATCTACAAATAAGTAAATAAACAAAATTATTATGGAATTTAAAATCAACATGAAGCAACGTCCACACTACATTTTACTTCCAAAATGTATCTTTGGGTAAAATAAGATACTCAATGAAAAAAACCCCCGCATGGAATAACTATATGGAAAAATTAATATAATGTATTAAAATGTATAATAATATAATATAATATAATATACTGCAGTTGATGCACAACTTTACAAATATTAAAAGAAACCAAAGGGAACATCTTAAGTAAATTCAGATGAGTTTACAATGATTTTTACCTTGGTTTTCTTATTCTATGGTAAAATAAAATAAAATATGAAAAATACATAATAAATGAATAAATAAATAATAATAAATAAATATATAGTGAGGATCTAAACAATATAAAAGAATATAATATAATGCTATTTTTGGGCTACACGGTTGCTGCCAGAAGCAGTGCGGCATAGTGGTTGACAGATCAAGCTCTTTTTAAAACGTTTGGTTTCTAAAACAGGGCTGCCATCATTGGCTGCTGAACTGAAGCTCATAACAGAACAGCAGGAGGTCTGTGAGCCCTCGAGGAGCTGCTCTCAATCCGTGTTGATCTAACACTGAAGCCCAATATCATGCCACTGTTTGCACTTGATAAATAATGCAGCTCACAAATGAGAGCTTTTCTGACCCATCCCTGCCATCCAGCAGTTATAAATGATAAAAGTTCAGCAGCTTAATGGATAAAAACACGAGGATCTGAACACAGATGGACAGAGAAATGGACAAAGATCATTAAATGAGGAACATCTTAGTTTATATGCAAAATATAAACTGGGAACAGGGAACATCTTAAGTGAATTCAGATGAGTTTACAATGACTTTTTCCTTTTCTGTGGCAAAATCAGTGTAATGGTCAACTTGAGTTGGTTTATTTCGTAATTCTTTATTCAACTCCTCCCTTGAAAAACCTCACATACCCAAAGGAAGCATAAGATGTAACAGAATGTATTAAGTGAAATATTTCTCTCTGAAGTGAAGCGATGTCCTAACAGCAGGGTTCACCACCATTCACAGGAGTAACGCTGACGATTAGTGAGGAAACCTGGCAGAGACGGGTGAGACAGCAGGGCACCTTCTGATGGACCCTCTTAATTTGTCTTAATTTATTATTGAAACCTCTGTTTGACAGATGGGGATATTTCCCATTTGGACAGGTGGGGTTAATAGGAACGGCACGGTCCTCACCCTGAGATGAGGTCTGGGAAAAGAGCATCAATCTAAAGCTCCTTCAGGTGGAGGTAAACTAGCTCGCTTTGAGCCAACACTCCAAAGCGCACATTAACTGGCTCAATGTCTTGATTGCTGTGCATTTCCCTCGACCCTTCAACACACTGATTAGACCATCATCACGCAGGATTTAGACAGCAAAAGAAATCTTTGGTTTGAGACACTCAGCAGCAACTAAACCAGGAGCAGAACTGTATATTCTTTTGGACACATAAAATTTCTTATCACAAAGTCTACACGTGTTCAACTACTATGAATAGAATAGAATAGGACATTCAAAAAAGAATAAAAAAACAATGCATAATGGAAGTATTATAGAGAAGGGTATATAGTATAGTGTAGTGTAGTATAGTGCAGTATAGTATAGTACAGAATAAAGTCTGGGTGCTTCTTAAATTAGTGAGGGTGCTTTCTCTCCCTCGCTATATATTTGCGCCGTCCATTGCTATGGCGCAAGAGCGTTCCCTTTATAATCACTAAAAGCTGTCACTCATTTTAATTCATCACAATCTCACAAAGTTACGTTACAATCAATTAAGTTCTCAATGCTGCACAATCTCTGAACCAATCTTACTTCTGAAATGTGATGTCTGAGTGCAATAGAATATTAAAAAAATGCATAATGGAACGAATATATAATATAATATAATATAATATAATATAATATAATATAATATAATATAATAATACAAACTTCATGTTTTTATTATTGAAGAAAAATAAAATAAAATAAATAAAATAAAATAAGTAATAGTATCATTAGAGGTCATGGGTTCGAATCCCAAGGAATGCAAAAACTTTCAGTATGTATGCGTTTCTTTGGATACATCCATCTGTCAAATGCAAAATAAAATAAATAAAATAAAAATAAAGGAAAATGTTGCAATTGTTGGAAAATTAAGTATAAAGTATATTTTAACAGTTTACATTTATTATTATCTGTTATTTTTGTATTACTTATAACCAAAGCCCTTGGCAATAAATCTTGTTGCTCATATGCATAATGTTTGGTGTGAACGCACCATTAAAACTGCATGAAGAATGTTTCACAAAACAATCATGACTTTCAAAAAGCTGGATCAATATAGAGGAGGTCACTGCACCAGTACTAGTTTAGATACTCAGAGATTTAATGCAGAGATCGTGACTTCAGCAGCCACTGAGTTCAGCAACACTGAGAAGAAGAGAGTGGGTCTTTGGGTTCATGGCATCTCAACTTCAGTGCTCTGCATTTCAAAAGGCTGAAACACACCGTTCCAAACAACAGCGCTGGCATCGCTCCAGTCCCTCCTCTATGAACTTCAAAAGCAGAATCAGACATATTGAAGCAACACACATCCTAAGAAACACGAGACGGCATCGCCGGGATTCTCTCGCTTCACACACCTAAGACTGCATTCACACTGCAGGACCTGTGGCACAGATATGATATTTTTACATATTCATGATTCTTTTCAATCAACTGGCCCACATGATGAACAGATAAGTAAATAAATCTGCTCGGATCTGTCCAGTGGGAATTGAAGAATTGGCATCCTTTGAATTCATGAGTGTAAATTTGGACTGAATTTGCCACAAAACAATCAATTTAACTGGTATTTGAACTGTAATGACGGGAAGAGGAATTACTGTACTGAAATTCAACACAGGTAATGCATCATGGGATATTAAGTGTCTTCCACAAGTTAATTTCAACTAAATACAAGTTTATATACACTATCATTGAAAGGTTTGGGGTCAGTGAGCTTTTAAAAGAAATTAATACTTATATTCAGCAAGGACGCATTCAATTGGTCAAAAGTGAGAGTAAAGACATTTACAATGTTACAAAATATTTCTATTTCAAATAAATGCTGGTCTTTTGTACTTTATATTTATCAAAGAATCCTGAATAAAATAAAAGTGTCATAGTTTCCACAAAGATATTAAGCAGCACAACTGTTTTCAACATTGATAATAATCAGAAATGTTTCTTGAGCAGCAAACCAGCATATTAGAATGATTTCTGAAGATCATGTGACACTGAAGACTGGAGTAATGATGCTGAATATTCAGCTTTGATCACGGGAATAAATTACATTTTAAAATATATTCAAACAGAAAACAGTTGTTTTAAATTGTAATGATTTTTCACAATACAATTGATTTTACTGTATTTTTGATCAAATAAATGCAGACTTGGTGAGCAGAAGAGACTTGAAAATCTATCTATGTTAATTCAGTTCTGAATGGTGCTCAACGCTGGTGTGCAGTCAATCAGATCTCAACACTTTTGTTGCTCTTTGCACGAATCTGTGCCAGAAGTCTGTGATAAAAAGCTGAACCGGTTAACAGTGTAAATGAGACCTGAAACACAAAGACACAAAGCAACTGATTCTGCATCCTCCACCATAAACATGTCAGTCTGAGGGAAAACAGATCATCAGACTGCATCATGGGTCCTCCATTAAAACTGTGGCATCAGCACATATTCATCACAGTCCATTAGCAGTCTACGTCAAAACAAGCTGCATGTCTGTCTGAGGCCATCCGCAAAGAAACAAATCTCCAAATCTATCTGAAAGCAAAAAACAAATTGAAAAAATAATTTAATTACCAGTTAGTCTGGTCTTTGCAATGTGCACGGATAAACTTTGGTCACTTTGGAGTTGCATAAAACCCATGTCTATGAACAAAACAGATCTGAAATCATCTGAGGACACAGAATGAGTCACTGCTAATGACAAATAAAGCATTCAGCACAAACTCTCCAAAGCATAAAAGCAATTTATATTAAATGCCTGAACGAAGGTTTTAATAATATAGTTTTGCATTTATATAAGTGGTCAGTTTGCAATGTCAAGCGCAGACAGGAGATTGCTTAAGACGTTTTTGCAAGTATATAACTGTTACCTTGTTATGATGTAAACATCTCTATTTTGCAAAACGTTTTTACACAAAGAAAATGGCCAAAATTGTGCTTGTCCTAACAGTAAGTGAGCATATGTCATAGAGTTTGCATGCAAATTAAACCAAAGGGTGAAAGTTTGGCCGGTTAACGTGGTCTAGTTAGTCCCTGCTGGTAGATGTTGTGACTGCACAATTCTGCAGGCCAAAATATAAAATTGGGGTCACACTTTATTAATAATTAGTAAGGTAGTTAAGTTTAGGTATTGGGTAGGATTAAGGGATCTAAAATACGGTCATGCAGAATAAGCATTAATATGTGCTTTATAAATACTAATAAACAGCCAATATGCTAGTTAACAGTGAGAATTGGTCCTTAAAATAAGGTGTTACCAAAATTGGATTTACTGTATCTGTTTTAGTCCACACTGGGAAGAATATTATCGTCCAGCTACATGTAATCTGCTAAATCCAACTATAAGATATGAATATATTAAGATATTTTAAATATTAACATCATGAATTTCTGTTAAACTGCTTTGAAAATGTGTATTGTGAAAAGCACTATATAAATAAATGTGACGATGTGAAAAAGCATTTTAGAAAGCAATTAAAATTTATCTGTAAAAGTATTCTCATTAAACAATATGTTGCATGCAAAATATACATACAAATAGATGGATTTAAGCGCCTGGTTTACTTTGAGAAGCTCTCAAAAACATTAAATTGACTTTTATTCCATCTCCTGTCACAAAGGAAGCACGATAATTTAAAACACAATAATATTCATTGATGTTAAATTTAGGTTTAAAATGAACTATAATTCATTTTGACCTCTGGCAAATACAACTGCGCACGACTGAATGAGAGAAAAAGGCAAAATATGAAAAACCCAGGTAATCAAAGAAATAATCAACATACACATCTTACATACTGTCAGCACTGTAGATCAGGCAGAGGTCGTGACCCTGCACCTGTGATTGGGCTGCAGCACACCTGTGCAGTTTCATTAGGATCGCAGCTGAGAGATTCATGACTGTGAAATGCTTCATACGTACAGGAAGCTAAAACCAGACACAGCTTCTGCGGGAGGATTCTGTCCAGCGTCCACACAGTTTATCTACTAATCAACAATCAATGCTGGAATGTGTCAGATCAACATGGACTGGATTTCAGGCTTTGTTTCGGTTGATGTGGGTAAATGTGCACGTATTAGCCGTGAAACACAAGCTTCATGAGATCCGCCAACATTCACTCAGCATAAAGCTCACTTTCTAGAAAATGTAAGAAATTATAGCATGGCTGGGTTGGAGTCAAGGCATGCGTTCCAAACTGTTTCTCACTGAATTAATGCAAGAAAGAATGATATTTAATCATTTTCATTTATATGCACCAACATAATAATTCACAGTCATAAGCAACAATATTCACAATCAGATACTTTTACTAAAACATTTAAATACACAAAATAAATGCCACGCAGTGTGAGTGATAATGCAAATGAATCATTGAATTCTGACTGAATCGATTCATTAAAATGGGACAGTGTGAAGTGATTCACTGCAATGAATCAAACTTATCTACCCTAACACTGTTTATTCTACTGAAGTTTAAACAGAGCGATGTTATTAAAACACTCTCATGCTCAGGAGTCACAAGACAATTAAATCCACACCACTCCAGTCCATCAATTAGCATCTTGTGAAGTGAAAACTGCATGTTTGTAACAAACCCCATCATTAAAGCAATTTAACTTCAAACCAATGCTTCCGGCTAAAATATGAGTCCATAATCCATAATATATTACCTTCTCCAGTGACAAAGTTGTCTCGTCTGAATCAGGAGAAAAATCTGCACAGATCAAGCACCGTTTACAAGCCAAAACAGTCCAAAATGGTTCTGAACAAATGTGTGTGTGGATTTTGATGTGAGAGACAACAGGAGATGGACTTTTACACTGGAGCAAGCGTTATTATGGATTATGGACTCATATTTTGGCCGGAAGCAACGGTTTACAGTTAAAATGCTTTAATGATAGATTTGTTTCTTACAAACACACAGCTTTTGTCTTCTCCAGATGTAAACTGATGGACTGGAGTGGTGTGGATTACATGTGGATTATTGTGATGTTTTTATCAGCTGTTTGGACTCTCATTCTGACGGCACCCATTCACTGCAGAGCATCCATTGGTGAGACAGTGATGAAATGCTACATTTCTCCAAATCTGATGAAGAAACAAACTCATCCTAATCTTGGATGGCCTGAGGCTGAGCAAATTTTTACTTTTGTATCAACAAAAGCATCATGAAAAGTGTGTGCATGTACCTTGGCAGCCAGGCGCTTGACGGCCTCCTCGCGGCGCCGCTGCAGCTCAGGTGTGCTGGGACAGCTGCTGGATCGCAGGGTGTTGGTGGTGCTGGGTGGAGGGGTCGGCTGAGGCGGCTGACTCAGGGGCAGATCTGAACTTGGCTCCCCACCTGGACATGTGACAGACGAATATCCACATGAGCACGAATATCACCAGCTGCTGTGATTCTACTGAGACGAGTCAAAGATCAATACACAAACATGTCAGACTGTCTAGGATAAGCTACAATCATGGACAGAGAACCTGTTTTAACTATTTAAAATACATTTCAAGTTTTTTTTTTTTTTTTTTTACATTTATTTAAAAGTGGGAATTTTAAATAAAAATATATTGTAATGATTTTTATGATGGCTGTTTTGAATATACAAGCATCAAAGACATTTTTCTCTCAACTATGCATAAAAATCAATATTTGAACATGCAGTTTAATGTTTCTTGCAATTAAAAAGTAAATGCACATATGTATCACACAGTTGATAACCTGCCTCAGAAAAATCAAATATGAACTAAAGAGTTTTTTTTCAAGAATTGTATACTATTTATTTGTTATTTGTTTTTATTGTTCAGGTGAGACTGAAGTACACTACAGTTCAAAAGTTTGGAGTCGGTAAGATTTTTTTTTCATAAAATTATGTTATTCAGCAAGGATGCTTTAAATTGATAAAACGTGACGGTAAAGGCATATGTATAATGTTATAATAGATTTCTATTTCAAATAAATGCTGCTCATTTTAAATTTCTATTCATCAAATAATCATAAAACAATGGTTTTTGCAAAAATATGAAGCACACAAATGTTTTCAACATTGATAAATGTTTCTTGAAGAATAACCGACACTGAAGACTGGAGTAATGATACTGAAAATTCAGCTTTGATTACAGGAATAAATTATATTTTAAAACATACTCAATTAGAAAATTAGAAAAATTTACGATCAAATAAATGCAGCCTTGGTGAGCAGAAGAAACTTCTTTCAAATGCATGAATAAATATTACTGACCACAAACTTTTGAACAATAGTGTCTCTCATTATTTGAAGGTAGTGAATGCATAAGACAGCTGGAAAATTGTCCATAAAACCGTTCTTATTTAACAATTCTTCGATGCAACAATTTAGGTAAGAATGATTTTACACAAGCCTTTGCTCTCATTGCGTTTCATGCTGCTCTATCCAGATTCAGGCACGTGTTGAGAAACAATGTACAAAACTCACTTTTCGGAGATGCGCTCGGGCTGTTGGACGCGATCTGTCTCATGCGGCCGCCATGGCAACTGAGCGCCACCAGGCGGGAGATGATGGCGGTTTTGCCGAAGCCCACATTGCCCACGATGACGGACCCGGAGCTCTCGCCCGATTCGCTGGGTCTCAGGTCGTTCTCCAGCTGCTGGAACAGCCAATCACGGCCCACGAACACAGAGTCAGTGGTGATGCTGGGAACCTCAAACAGCAGCGGCTTGAGCATGATGTCAGTGGGCTTGTACGGAGCAAAGCGGGCTGCAAAAGACAGAAAACACAGGTTTACTCACATGCAAACAAAACAAACAGAACTTGTTTTGAGTTTAAGCTTAGACATTAGAAGGAATATAGCGATACTTAATAATAAAGCTATTTTACTGCAGCAAATGCTATAAAAGATCACATAATCATAGGTTTTTAAGACTACTTACACTTAACCTTGCCAAATATGTTTTAAACACCCTTAACGTCACCCCAGAGTGAGTTTTTATTGTGCATGAGACAAAATATGTGTGAAAGAACATAAATAAGTCATAATTGGATGCTGGAATATAGTGCTGTGACATTATATTACAGACTTCCATCACTTTTAGTAGCTGTTTGTGGGAATATAAATAAACATGGCTCTGTGTGTTGGATATCTGTGTGTCACTGATATTGTGACATTAGTTTTGTATTTGAACATTTTTATCGTAGTGAATCTATAGCATCAAATAAATATATTGTGCTTGAAAAGTAGCTTTTTTTGAGAAACTGTCAAGTAGCACAAAACGTTGCGCCAGTTGTATTTAGTTAATCACTGAGTTTTGGGTTAATCTCACGAAGGACAAAGAGAAAAAAATATGAAATGAAATTTGCATTAAAAAATTAAAGCTTCACTTTATATAAAATTTATAAGCGCATTTTAAATCTTGTCTGGACATTTGATTTTTATGTAATTAACATTATTCTCAAAGGTGGCATCTAAAAAAAAATAAAGCACCTTAATGCAATGATTGTTTTATTTAAATCAACATAAAGGCAGAACAACAAATCATGATCTATAAATATATTTCAGGGTCTCAATTCGCATGTGATGCATGTCTTTCTTGTGGCGTTCATAAAATTATATATATATACTTTTTTTTTTGTTGAAAAGTCCATAAAAAAACAAATGTACTGAAAACTCACCTGTGAGCTCATGAAATCTTAAAATGCAGTAGAAAGACATAATAATAAATCAAAGGCAGTCTGATGAAACAAGCCTGTGCTGTAAAATAAAAATAAAATAAAATAAAGATAAAATAAAATATTATTTAATAGTTCTGCTGCTGAAAATGCTTAAATGTCTTTAATAAAATATTGACATGTACAGAACAAACAGTGATATTAACTATTTGCACACAGATACGCATGCCAGTGCTGCATTTCAGATTAAACTGAATCTATCTACCCTCACACACCTGATACATGGCCTGCAAAAACTGGAATAAAAACCACTAGAGCTGAATGCTGCACTGATAGGAGCTGATGAATCTCTGCTGCCACTGGCTGTGATTGAATCAAACCTCTGATGTTCCTCATTATTTATCAGAACATTCAACAACAAGGTCAGAATAACAGCTCAACACCGACACACGCAGCGGCTCCTCCAGAACACACATCAGCTCGACCCCGCAGCGTTTATATAAGAGAAAGAGACGAACAGATGGACAGAGAGGGAAAAAATGTAAACGCACACCTAAATGTCGAAGTTATGAAAAAAAATATCTAAAAGAGTTTAAAAAAAAATCAAAAGAAGATTTAAATAAGAAATTATATTTTTTACATAATGAAAATTAAGCTCAATTTAAATTTAAATCAATTTTGTTTTTTGCATGAAGGTAATAAGAATTTGGGGTGAAAATGTCATGCAAATTATGCCAGACTAACTAAAAATGTTTAAATATATATAAAATAAAAAAAAAAATCTAAAATAGGCTTCGTTTTCTTCATGCTTTTCTACGGGGGTTGGGATGTTTCATGAGGTTTCTACATAATTAAAGAGGAAAACTAAGCACATAGACACAACTGCATGATGGGATTGTGGAAGTACCTTTGTCGTGTGGAGCTCTGCCCCCGGTGTTGTGCCAGGGCAGGCGGATGGACGTACGCAGGGGGGTGTTCCGCTGTTCATCAAGATAGCTCAGATCCTCCAGCTTAGTGGAGCTCGTCGCTGCACAAAACACAGAGAAAAACAGGAGCTTAGCATTATGGGTAGAATCAATGCATAACAATAAGAACAAGATCAAGCGTTCAGCAGTGTTACATTAGTCTTATTTATTATCCGTTATATATATATATACACACACACACACACACACCTTTATACATATATTTTTATTTTAATTAAGTTTCATGAAGTTTTAATGATTTTGTTGTGGGCTTTTTTTTTTTTGTAAATATTTCTATTTTTATTTTTATTTCAGTTTTAGCAATTTTAGTACTTAAACTATTTTAGTTAGTTGCCAAGGCCATTTTTTAATGTTGGTATATTTTTCATTTTTATCTTATATAATATAAAAACATTATAAAAAGATTTTTTTCAGTAATTGAGATTTGAAAACGTTTTAATAATTTTAGTTCTAGTTAACAATAACAAGCAGTGAAATCACGGTCACTAGTGACCAGTGACACTAAACTGAATTGCAATAATTACTGTTTCCAAACAGCTTTTATGTTTTTTCTTTTTAAAAAAATTCTATATTTAGTCCTAATTCTAAATATAGAATTAATTCTATATTTAATTTATTTTAATTCAGTATCAGTTTTAGTAATTTTAGTACTTCAATTTAAACTATTTCAGTTGCCAAGGCAATATTTCTAATTTTCATTTAAGTTTTTTTTCCATCTAATATAATTGTATTTTATTTCAGCATTATTTCAATAGCCAAAAATCTTTTTTTTTTTTTTTTTTTGTTATTGGATTTGAAACTATTTTTAATAGTTTTAGTTATAGTTTTAGTTAAGTAGTGAAATCACTGGCTCTGCTATTTAAATGCATAAACGGTTCCACGTTTATGGTCAATGCACAGCGGTCGCATTGACCATAAACGTGGAACCGTGGAGAGAGAAAGATGAAATCATCCCGAATGCAAATCACCAGCAGTGACCGTAATAACCACAGTAAAGAATGAATGGGGAACAGAACCAGGTCACTGAGCAAACACACACACACAGACCGAACAATTAGAGACATTTCAAAAGCAACACAACCCATTTAAATCAAAGAGAACTGAAAAACTCAAAAAATGCAAAAGCCAAATCCTGCAATATTTCACTTTTTTCAAGCTGTGTGTCAGGAGCATGTCATTCCAGTACACTGCCTCTAATGTGCATCCATGCATCGCTGCCTGAAACTAATGCACCAGCAACCTGTTTGCTCTGAAACTACTTCTCACACTCGCACCGAAGCTCTCGATACTCACAGACTGACGCGTTCTTCAGGCAAAGACAGACGCAGCTCTGCAAACCTCTGCTTCCCTCTCTCTCTCCTCAGGGCACCTCCATGTTCACCCACCGCTCTTTCATTCGCATTCAACTGGTGAACGGCACCGCAGACCGAGTCTCTCTCACCGGCTTCACCGCATCGCTGAACACATCCACAAAGCATCAGAGAAAATCACAACCGCAGCGCTCCACTCTGCAATCCCAATGAAAGAGTGGACGGAAAAAAGGAGAGAGATGAAACGGAGGAGGAGGAAGAGGTCTCTCTATCTCTATCTCTCCTCTCCTACACAGCGGCTGATTGCAGTTTGTAGCGGGCAGCCGGAGGAGAAATAATCTATGATCCTCCCAGAGAAAAAGATAGAAAGCTAATAAAACAGAGCTGAAGGAGAGTTTGGCCAGGAGGGAGATGGGTGATGGAGGGAGGAGCAGAGCGAGTGAGTGAACGAGCAAATCAGCTGCGCCCCTGCTGCATTTCTCATTCACTTTCAGCTTTAAACAACCTCACTGTGTCACACGCAATATTACAGACTAGGGCTAGGCAATATGACAAAACATTTTTTTAAGAATGTTTGACCAATTCAAGATTTCGATTGATTGATTTTTCTTTTTTTTTTTGACATTTAACTAGTCGACTTCAAGACACATTTTCTTTATTAACCATCTAGTTAAAGAAATTTCTATTCCAAGTTCACCACACATGAATGTGTCAACATGGTGTAAATGTAAATCAAAATCACTTGTTAAATATATTTGCAGAAAAGATGCATGAAATATGAAGCCAAATATTGTACAAACTTGTCTTAAACATGTCATATGTTCAGAAATAATACAAGAAAAATGCTCAAATTCAAAACGACTACAAATGAATAAGGATGCATTAAATTGATCAAAACAATTCCCAGTTCAGTTCTGGATGGTGCACAAGCCTTATGGAAAAAGCACCATTACCTTTTTGAAATAATACTCAACTCAACTCAATTTTATTTATAGCACTTTCAAAACCATAAAAAATTGACCAAAGTGCTGTACACAAGTAGCATTAAATCTAAAAAACAGAATATTAAAACACAACAGCAAAAAACACAGAACAATAAGACAAATCATTCACAACTGTCCGACCAATCAAATGCCGGAAGCCTGGTAAACCAAGTAAATCTTTAAGTCCTTTTTAAAATTGTCCATGCTTGACAGGATTTTATAGATAATAACAGTGCATTCCAAAGTAACTGGGCCGCAGCAGAAAAAGTGACGAGATCGTGGGACAGTTCAAAACTGTCAGTGATCGATGCCATTGGTAAGGGGGGTTTAACATATCCCGTATATACTCAGGAGCCTGATCATGAAATACATTAAATGTATTCGATATTTTACAGGTAGCCAGTGCAAAGATACTAACACAATTTGACTAGTAAGTCAAATCTCAAATAACTGCCCTGATGACTTGTGTTCTACCCACCTAAATGATAGAAGTACTTGACTTCCAGCGATATCGTTGACTTGATTGCAAATGATTGCAAAGATACTATTTAAACTGAACTGAGCTGGATGTTGACATCACTGAATTCAATGATGAACTGTCTTTAACTGAAAAATTAGTGTTTACTATTGTCATTTTGCATTATTGACACACTATTTTCCTAATTAATGCTGTTCAGTTGCTTTGACACAATCTGTATTGTTAAAAGCGCTATATAAATAAAGGTGACTTGACTTGACTTAACACAGGTGTTATATGATCCCGCTTTCTAGTGTTTGTTAAAAGTCTCGCTGCAGCATTCTGAACACACTGAAGACGCATAACCAGACATTCACTAATTCCTAAATATAAGGCATTACAATAATCCAACCACGTTGAAATAAAAGCATGTATGACAGTCTCCAAGTCCTTGTTTGAGAGAATAGTTTTCAGTTTGGACAATTTCCTTAAATCAAAACTATGGAAGGAATTACTGAAACACGGCCACAAGTTACTAAACGAGGGAACAAATTAAAAAGTCATGGGAGCTATTTCTTTCTGGAGCTAAAACAAGGGAAGAAATGAATGCAGTGAAGTGTCTGTGCATTAAATAGTGTGATGATATTACTGAATCTGAATTGTCTTTTAAAGCCCAACTGAGCGAGCCGCAGGTGTCAGTGTAAATCAGTGCGGTGGCGGAGGGTTTGCAGATATCAAACCCTTCTCTCTTTCTTCTCACAGGCCTGCTATCAATATGAAGCAGCAGTTAGGAAACATCTATGTCCTTTCATTTCTGCCCCTCTCTTTCACTTTTACACTCTCTTCTCTGTCTCAGAAGATGGAGCAGATGGTGTTTCGGCGAGAGATGAAATTCTGCCGTTCCTCTTCTTTGCACTGTGGTCTTGGGAGACTCGGCAGAGACACATGCACTGGCCACAATTCACCACTCAACAACTGGCTCCTGTTCAATCCATGAGTGTGAATCTGAATTTAACTGGTCACGTCGCATAGGATGTTGAATTGGAATGACGAGAAGAGGAATTGAAAGAAATTCACGGTCACACAACAGAGGAATTGTCTTAGTCCAACACAAGTAACAAACAACTTAACTTATTTTTCTAAAGTATTTTTCAGCACAGTCAAAACAAATTGCCAAAATAACAGCTCTGTGTGTTTATTTATTATGTATTATTTATTTATATATATAGGTATAGTTATTAATTATACAATAATAAAATTATATTTTATACATATATTTGTGTGTGTGTGTGTATACATACACTTAAAATATATATTTATAAAAAATAAAAATAATTTAGTTATATATAATATATGCGACTTTTATTTTAACTCTACTTGCTTACATTCAAATTAAAATTACAGTTCAACATCCTGTTTGTTCCCTGCAGCTCAAGGGTAATTCAAATTAAGAATTTAAATGACTGAATTTAAAGTTTTGTCTCAGTTCAGTTGTTAACGGTGCTCAAGTGCTTCTCATGCTGGACTCCAGGTGCTGTTTTTGGGTTGGGTTTGTGGCTAAATGTCTCACTCTGTGGCTCTGGCTCCTGTCTCAGGAAATGACACGTGCCATGCACATTTACATTGCTTCCTGACAGCTGGAGGATTCAGTGAGAAGCGTTCGCTCTGGTGACGGTGCATCTGGAATCACTGGTGTCTTCAGCTGTGACTGCTTGTGTTCAGCTCGACTGAGCTGGTGCGCCTTCTGCTTTAATTGCACTAAGTCAGCCTTTTGACAATTATCAATATTTAGCTCAATATTTATATTAGGTAAATTTTGATTTATTTTCTTTTATTCTAAAATAGATGTATTCTTTTAGGAAATATATATTTTTAATTCTGTTTTATTTTAAATTTTTTTTGGTGGGCAGCATGTCAAGTCAAGTCACCTTTATTTATATAGTGCTTTATACAATACAGATTGTGTCAAAGCATCTTTACAGTGTTAAACAGGGAAATAGTGTGCTGATAATGCAAGAGGACAATAGAAAAGAGTCCGTTTATCAGTTAAAGTCAGTTCATCATTGATTCAGTAATGTCATCATAAGCTCCGTTCAGTTCAAATAAAATTGTCAGAAATTAAGCGTCCCTAACTAAGTAAGCCAGAGGCGGCAGCGGCAAGGAACCAAAACTCCATCGGTGACAGAAATGAAGAAAAAAACCTTGGGAGAAACCAGGCTCAGTCGGGGGGCCGGTTCTCCTCTGGCCAGACCAAACCAGCATGGTGTGTATGTGCCACTTATTTATTTATG